GGTGTTGTTGAGACCCTCTGAACGGTATACCTGACGGCCCAGTAAGGCCTTGGTATAACTTTTAGACTTGGCAGGCGGGGGTAGAGATCTACTCCTCTTTCAGCCACCCAAGACAATCTTAGTAAGTGCCCTTGCTTCTTACCTGCCATCTACCAATTTAGAGTGACCTACCTCTATCTTTGCTCTCTCCTTAGGGAGGGAGAAGAGTCAGGTTCTAAAGCAGCAGCTTCCTCACATGACAGCCCCAGAGTTGTCAGCCTTCTTACTCACAGCTCAAGTCTACCACACAAGGTTCTCGAAGACACAGAAGGAAGATGCAAGGCTTCTGCTGACCTAGCCTCCGAATCCCTGAAAGTCTCTTGGGCCTCATTCTATTGATCAGCCTAGTTACTAAGATTCCAGGGGAGGGGTAGATTCTCAGTGGGCACAGCAGCTGAGATATAAAATGTCTCATTTACTCTCTAAAAAATTGTTTGGAATTCCCAGACAGTCCAGTTGTTAGGACTCTGTGCTTGCACTGCAGGGAGCAGAGGCCCAGTCGCTGGTGGGGAAACTTAGATCCTGCAAATCGCAGGGCAACGGCCAAAATAAAATTTAAAACTTCGTATTTGCCAGTATTATGTACTTGACTCAAGCACTGTACTGTTTGCAAAGTGGAAGAAGTTTGTACCTTGCCCTGGTTTATTTTCTTCAAGGTTAGAATCTTGACTTTTTTTCCCCTTTAAGTTTCACTTGGTTTAGTTGTGTATCTTGAAGCAGATATGTGTCGAAGTAGTTGATGGAGATGCTACCTCAGGAAGACACTGCGAATAAAGCGATCGCTTTTTAATTGACTGCGGAAATCCTCTTACTTAAATATTTAATGGGGGTCGGGGGTGGGAAAGGTCCTCATAATAACCATGCCCAGTGGGGATGAGTTCGGTCTGGCTGTGAAAACAAAATCGGAAGGTGAGACTAGAACGGAGCCGCGACTCACAGCCCCACTCGCAAATGCGGGGTTCCGGCCGCTCAGAACTCCTGTTTTCCCGGGCTCCCCCTGCAGGTCGCGCCTTCTCGCGGCGCGCTCAGAGCGCGGGGCGCAGAAACCTCAAGGGAAGTCGTCTAGGTTGGGGATTGGTTGGTCACACCGCCGGCATGGGGGCGTGGCGTATGTAGATGAGCGGCGCGCAGAGCCTGCTGGTCCCGCTCCCCCCCGGGCCTCGGCGTCCCGCGTGTGGCCACGCGGAGGTTCCTGAGGTTGTTCCCCGGGTGGGCGAGGCCGGGCCGAGGGACGCGCAGGGGCGGAGGGTGCGGAGGTGGTGCGAGGGAAGTGACCGTGCGTTTAGAGTGGGGCGAGCTCGAGGGTGCTGGGCGGTGGGTGGCCGGCAACTCATACTTACCTGGCAGGGGAGATACCATGATCACGAAGGTGGTTTTCCCAGGGCGAGGCTTATCCATTGCACTCCGGATGTGCTGACCCCTGCGATTTCCCCAAATGTGGGAAACTCGACTGCATAATTTGTGGTAGTGGGGGACTGCGTTCGCGCTTTCCCCTGATTAACGTGGTTTATGTAAGGGCAGACCAAACAAAAAGCGGGCTGTATCTCCTGTAAGCCTTGCAGGCAGGTGGTTTTTGTGATTTTTGCGCGGCTTTGTTGCTGTGGTGGGCAGCTGCTGTACTGACGGTATATGGTATTATACCTCGAGATGCGCCGAAGTGCTTATGTTCTTAGACAAGAGGATCTTTTGGGTCGTGTTTCCGGTTGTACGCTAGTTTCCTTTGCAAGTTAAGTCGCTCGGCAGCGTCCGACTCTGTGACCCCGTAGACTGTAACCCACCCGTTTTCTCCGTCCATAGGATTCTCCAGGCAAGGACGCCGCAGTGGGAGGTCTCCCGCGCTGTAGGTAGACGCTTTAACCTCTGAGCCACCGCGGAAGACCCATTTTCCTTAGGAAAGTTTATCGTTTTCCAGCTAGTGCGGGTTGTTTGGTCAGCATTACCCGGGCAAGTCGGAAAAGGGTCTCTGTTGAGTTTGCAGCAGTTTGAGTAGGTGTTTACAAAAAAGAGCTTCCTGACCCAAATAATCTTGATGGTGTGATCACTCATCTAGAGCCAGACGGCCGGGAATGGGAAGTCAAGTGGGTGGGCCTCAGGAACCTTCACAGGACAAAGTTAGTGGAGGTGATGGAATTCCAGTTGGGCTATTTCAAATCCGAAAAGATGATGCTTGTGAACGTGCTGGTATAGCAAATTCGGAAAACTCAGCTAGTGGCCACAAGACGGGATAAAGGTCAGTCTTCATTCCAATGCCAAAGAATGCTCAAGCTACCGCACAAGTGCACTCATCTCACAGGCTAGTAAAATAATGCTCAAAATTCTCCAAACCAGGCTTCAGCAGTACGTGAACCCTGAACTTCCAGCTGTGCAAGCTGGATTTAGAAAACGCAGAGGAGCCAGAGATCAGATTGCCAACATCCGTTGGTCGGATCATCGGAAAAAGCAAGAGTTCCAGGAAAAACAACCTACTTCTGCTCTATTGACTATGCCAAAGCCTTTGACTGGGTGGGTCACAAGGAACTCTGGAAAATCCTGAAAGAGGGGAATACCGGACCACCTGACCTGCCTCTTGAGAAATCCGTATGCAGGTCAGGAAGCGACAGTTAGAACTGGACATGGAACAACAGACTGGTTCCAAATTGGGAAAGGAATAGAGAAATATCAATAACTTCAGATATGCAGATGACACCACCCTTATGGCAGAAAGCAAAGAAGAACTAAAGAGCCTCTTGATGAAAGAGGACAGAAAAAGTTGGCTTAAAACTCAACATTCAGAAAACTAAGATCGTGGCATCTGGTCCTGTCACTTCATGGCAAATAGATGGGGAAACAATGGGAACAGTGACAGGCTTTACTTTGGGGGGGGGGGGGGGGGCTCCAAAATCACTGCAGATGGTGACTGCAGCCAAGAAATTGAATGATGTTTGCTCCTTGGAAGACAAGTTATGACCAACCGGACAGCACATTAAAAAGCAGAGACATTACTTTGCCAACAAAGGTCCCTCTAGTCGAAGCCATGGTTTTTCCAATAGTCATGCATGGATGTGAGAGTTGGACCATAAAGAAAGCTGAGCGCCGAAGAACTGAACTGTGGTGTTGGAGGAGACTCTTGAGAGTCCCTTGGACTTCAAGGAGATCCAACCAGCCCACCCTAAGGAAGATCAGTCCTGAATATTCGTCGGAAGGACTGATGCTGAAGCTGCAACTGCAATACTTTGGCCACCTGATGTGAAAAACGCACTCATGGGAAAAGACCCTGATGCTGGGAAAGACTGAAAGCGGGAGGAGAAGGGGACGACAGAGGATGAGATGGTTGGATGGCATCACCGACTCAATGGACATGGAGTTTGAGTAGACTCCCGGAGTTGGACGGGGAGATCTGGCGTGCTGCCGTCCATGGGGTCCCAAAGAGTCAGACACGACTGAACTGAACTGAACTGAATAGGTGTTAGAGGTTATACAAAGCACATCAGGGGAAGACAAATATAATATCTATAAAATCACTTACTGTTTCAGCCGTGCCCGACTCTGCGACCGCATGGACTGCAGCACGCCGGGCTTACCTGTCCCTCACAGTCTCCCAGGGTTGCTCAAACTCATGTCCATTGAGTCGGTGATGCCATCCAACTATCTCATCATCCTCTGTCACCGCTTTTCCTCCTGCCTTCACTCTTTCCCAGCATCAGGGTCTTTTCCAATGAGTCAGCTCTTGGCATCAGGTGGCCAAAGGATTGAAGCTTCAGCTTCAGCATCAGTCTTTCCAATGAACATTCAGGGTTGATTTTATTTAGGGTGGACTCGTTTGATCTCCTCGCAGTCTAAGGGACTCTCTCAAGAGTTTTTTCCAACACCACAGTTCAAAAGCATCATTTCTTTGGCGCTCAGCTTTCTTTAGGGTTCAACTCTCACATCCATACATGACCACTGGAGAAACCACAGCTTTGACTAGACAGACCTTTGTCAGCAAAGGAGGGACAAAGGAGACCAATCGATTCCAAGGCTTTCAGTCTGTGGCAACTTTAAGGATGTCAGGAAGTGGCAAAAGCAGAAATTGAGTCAAGAGTAGCTATTGGCCAATGCATAGGAATGGGGTGAAAGATGCTGGGCCTGTTTGGGGCTACATTGATTGATTTGCAGCAGGCGGGGGTATCTAGCCAAAGAAGTGGAAATCCGACGAAGTATCAGAGGAAAGGGCAAGGATTAAATAAGACAGAGTAGGTATCTGAATTGGATCATTAAGAGGGGACACTTCTCCCTAAGGGGGCAGAAACTTGAGTATAGGCTGGTAGACAAACAGAAGAAACGGTATCCCAGTCAAGACGCTGTCATCTGTCTCATCTCACACATCCAGCGGATGTGTAAACTAAGGGCTGAGAAAAGGTCGGGACTAAGAAGAGGTCAAGAAAGGCAAATTAGGAAGTAAGTAATGACAATTTAGCAACTTTTTGGAAGACAGACGAGGCCGGAAGTCAGACTGAAAAGGGAGAACAGTGAAAGCAAGGCAGTTGCGCGTGAAAAAAGGTAGAAAAAAAAAAGAAGGGTTTCAGGCGACGAGATCTGAGGGACGCCGAATGCTAGTGTCTGGAGACCTACTGGTCCTGATCTAAGAATACAAGTCCTTCAGCATATAGATTTCTGCTTTTTCACGTCACTACGTGAAACACGGCACGTAGAGTGTTCATCTCACATATTGCCACTTATGAGAGTGCTAACTGCAACTTCCAGTAATAAGGCAGCGGTTTCCTATGTTCCAAATAGGAACATATTCCTGTTGCGAAGGGCAGCGGCAGGAGTTCGGAACCCGCCAGCCGTACCAGCCCTTCGCTGGGAATATCCGCGCAGGCGCGCATAAAGGACTCGGAAGTTGGGGCGGAAGTTGTGTCGGAGCACTTTAGGGAAGGGACCTGCAGAGTAAACAGTTACTGTGCAGACGCTTGTGGATGGTTTCGGAGGGGCCGGCAACCATGAACCGCCTCCAAGACGACTATGACCCGTACGCAGTTGAGGAGCCTAGCGACGAGGAGCCGGCTTTGAGCAGGTTGGCCCCTGTCCCGCCGCGTCCCCCTGTCTCTCCCCGGCCCCCGAGGCTTCAGACCAACGTCAGACCTCAGCCTCCCGACTCGCTGCGCTTGTCGGGCCCGTGCGGATACTCCGTCCAGCGGTTCGGGACCCTGTCGCACCCCGCTGTCGTCTGTGGGACTCCGCCGGGGGTTCTGGTGAGGTCTTGCAGTCACGGGGGAGGCAGGATCGAAATTGGCGCAGGGAAGGACTATAGTCTGTATTCTGGAATTACGCATAAGATTCAAAAGCCTCGTGAAGTCGAATCCTGCTTATGCAGCTTATCAGCACTGTGACTGCGGGCAAGTCCTTTATCGTCGGTTTCTCGTTTATAAAAAGGAAGTATAACATCGCAAGCTAGTTGTGAGGCACTTGGGACTTACTGTGAATTGAACATCATGAAGGTTAAACTGCCATAGACGGAAATTAGGGGATAATTAACGTTTTTTTCCCTTTTCTTTTTGAGCATATATTGAATGCTTGCTGTGGGCTACAGAGATCAGACATAAGATTTTTGTCTTCGACAGGTTTAATGGTAAAGTAAGGGGACATAAGATAGATACGTATCTTGCGAGAGATTTATGTCTCGGAAATAAACGTGTATTGCAGAAGAGCGCTGTAGAAAAAGATGACCTGGGATAGTTACAGATGAAGTTCCACGGGAATTTCCAGAAGGGAGGGATTAATCCTACCTGAGGGAAACTTGCATTTATGTTGACTAGAGATTTCCAGGCAAGTTTAGCCATTTTTAAAGCTGTCAGCAGATCCTTTTCATAAACCTTAAAATATTCTGTCCGACTAGTTTTCTGTGAAACTGTTTTTCCTTTAATCATAGTGCTTCCTCATACTATCCCGGGGAGGGTTTATAGGCATGGGAGATCAGACTGCTGTGAGGATTTCTGTTGTGGGAAGTGAGGATGGATTCCAGGATTCCCTTATGAAGAGTTTCACTTATGGGCCCAGTCTGTGAAAGTAGGCCTCAATTAGTAATTCAGTTTGATTGGTTTCAGTGTTTCCTGAACTTGAGTTATTCTTCCATTATCATTCCCATATTCACCCTTGTTATTACTTATTTAATATTTTTCTTTAAGTCAATTTACATTTTTGTAGTTAAATGCTTTCTTTTTCTTTGGCTCACAGTTTGTGGGATCTTAGTTCCCTAACCGGGGATTGAACCTGGGCCCCCAGCCGTGGAAGCACGGAGTCCTAACCACTGGATCACCAGGGAATTCCTATGTAGTTAAATATTTATAAGGAGACTTTATATTCCTGTGATAGTTGCAACTGATAAGGTAGTAAATATAAATACTTTGAAAACAAAACAATGTTATTAGGCGAAAACAATGCTTGTTTTCGAAAGGGAGATTGTGTTAGGTGTTTAAGAGATGTCTGTCAGGATTTGATTTTACTCTATCTAGAAGTGAATCCTTTATCACCTGTTACTGTTTCATGGAAGCTGGCAGAACACATGAGTATCCTGAGTAAGAGGCACCTCATAGTAGAGCAAGCAGTCTGAGCAGCATGTTTGTGTTGGTTGCTCTTGCTTGCAACTCCTGTCTATAGGAGTTACGTGGAGAGGCCCAGATCGCTGCTGCATGTTCAGTGGGTTGGTGTCGTAGCCGAGGACTACTTGGGCCTGGAGGTGCACCTTTTACAGCAGGCAGTAAATGTGTCACTAGATGCCGGTAAGCCCTCCTCCCACGTCCTGGTTGTGACCATCAAAAATATCTCTTAGCTATGCCAGATGTTCCCTGGGAGGCAAAATTGCCCCCAGTTGAAGAGTACTATGGTAGTTCAAGGGTAATAGTGAAAGATAAGGCTGAAAAGATAAGTTGAAACCAGATTGTGGAAGATTCTTTTGAATGCTGTACTCAAAGTTTTGGTCATGGATGATTTTCTTTTGGATTTGGGTAGTGATGTGATCGCTGAGGAAGGCTTTCTTATCTCTCCTGGCTATTCTTTGGAACTCTGCATTCAAATGGGGATATCTTTCCTTTTCTCCTTTGCTTTTCGCTTCTCTTCTTTTCACAGCTATTTGTAAGGCCTCCTCAGACAACCATTTTGCCTTTTTGCATTTCTTTTCCATGGGGATGGTCTTGATTCCTGTCTCCTGTACAATGTCACGAACGTCCGTCCTTAGTTCATCAGGCTCTCAGATCTGTCTATCAGATCGAGTCCCTTAAATCTATTTCTCATTTCCACTGTATAGTCATAAGGGATTTGATTTAGGTCATACCTGAATGGTCTAGTGGTTTTCCCTACTTTCTTCAGTTTAAGTCTGAATTTGGCAATAAGGAGTTCATAATCTGAGCCACAGTCAGCTCCTGGTCTTGTTTTTGCTGACTGTATAGAGCTTCTCCATCTTTGGCTGCAAAGAATATAATTAATATGGTTTTGGTGTTGACGATCTGGTGATGTCCATGTGTAGAGTTATCTCTTGTGTTGTTGGAAGAGAGTGTTTGCTATGACCAAGAGTGCGTTCTCTTGGCAAAACTCTATTAGCCTTTGCCCTGCTTTCCGTACTCCAAGGCCAAATTTGCCTGTTACTCCAAGTGTTTCTTGACTTCCTACTTTTGCATTCCAGTCCCCTATAATGAAAAAGACATCTTTTTTGTGTGTTAGTTCTAAAAGGTCTTGTAGGTCTTCATAGAACATTCAACTTCAGCTTCTTCAGCATTACTAGTTGGGGCATAGACTTGGATTACCATGATATTGAATGGTTTCCCTTGGAAGCGAACAGAGATCATTCTGTCGTTTTTGAGATTGCATCCAAGTACTGCATTTTGGACTCTTGTTGACTATGATGGCTACTCCATTTCTTCTAAGGGATTCCTGCCCACAGTAGTAGATATAATGGTCATTTGAGTTAAATTCACCCATTCCAGTCCATTTTAGTTCGCTGATTCCTAGAATGTCAACATTCACTCTTGCCATCTCCTGTTTGACCACTTCCAATTTGCCTTGATTCATGGCAAATTCCAAATTTGGCTGTTCCAAAGAATAGCCAGGAGAGATAAGAAAGCCTTCCTCAGCAAAGGAAATCAATGCAAAGAAATAGAGGAAAACAACAGAATGGGAAAGACTAGAGATCTCTTCAAGAAAATTAGAGATATCAAGGAAACATTTCAGGCAAAGATGGGTTCGATAAAGGACAGAAATGGTATGGACCTAACAGAAGCAGAAGATATTAAGAAGAGGTGGCAAGAATACACAGAAGAACTGTACAAAAAAGATCTTCATGAGCCAGATAATCACAATGGTGTGATCATTCACCTAGAGCCAGACATCCTGGAATGTGAAGTCAAGTGGGCCTTAGAAAGCATCACTATGAACAAAGCTAGTGGATGTGATGGAATTCCAGTTGAGCTGTTTCAAATCCTGAAAGATGATGCTGTGAAAGTGCTGCACTCAATATGCCAGCAAATTTGGAAAACTCAGCAGTGGCCACAGGACTGGAAAAGGTCAGTTTTCATTCCAATCCCAAAGAATGCTCAAACTACCGCACAATTGCACTCATCTCACATGCTAGTAAAGTAATGCTCAAAATTCTCCAAGCCAGGCTTCAGCAATACATGAACCGAGAACTTCCAGATGTTCAAGCTGGTTTTAGAAAAGGCAGAGGAACCAGAGATCAAATTGCCAACATCTGCTGGATCATCAAAAAACCAAGAGAGTTCCAGAAAAACATCTATTTCTGCTTTATTGACTATGTCAAAGCCTTCGACTGTGTGGATCACAATAAACTGTGGAGAATTCTGAGAGAGATGGGAATACCAGATCACCTGACCTGCCTCTTGAGAAACCTGTATGCAGGTCAGGAAGCAACAGTTAGAATTGGACATGGAACAACAGACTGGTTCCAAATCGGAAAAGGAGTTATGTCAAGGCTGTATATTGTCACCCTGCTTATTTAACTTATATGCAGAGTACATCATGAGAAATGCTGGGTTGGAAGAAGCACAAGCTGGAATCAAGATTTCTGGGAGAAATGTCAATAACCTCAGATATGCAGATGACACCACCCTTATGGCAGAGAGTGAAGAGGAACTGAAAAGCCTCTTGATGAAAATGAAAGAGGAGAGTGAAAAAGTTGGCTTAAAGCTTAACATTCAGAAAACTAAGATCATGGCATCTGGTCCCATCACTTCATGGCAAATAGATGGGGAAACAGTGGAAACAGTGTCAGATTTTATTTTTTTGGGCTCCAAAATCACTGAAGATGGTGTTTGCAGCCATGAAATTAAAAGACGCATACTCCTTGGAAGGAAAGTTATGACCAACCTAGATAGTATATTAAAAAGCAGAGGCATTACTTTGCCAGCAAAGGTCTGTCTAGTCAAGGCTGTGGTTTTTCCAGTGATCATGTATGGATGTGAGAGTTGGACTGTGAAGAAAGCTGAGCCCTGAAAAATTGATGCTTTTGAACTGTGGTGTTGGAGAAGACTCTTGAGAGTCCCTTGGACTTCAAGGAGATCCAACCAGTCCATCCTAAAGGAGATCAGTCCAGGGTGTTCATTGGAAGGACTGATGCTGAAGCTGAAACTCCAATACTTTGGCCACCTTATGCAAAGAGTTGACTCATTGGAAAAGACCCTGATGCTGGGTGGGATTGGGGGCAGGAGGAGAAGGGGACGACAGAGGATGAGATGGCTGGCTGGCATCACCGACTTGATGGGCACGAGTTTGAGTAAACTCCAGGAGTTGGTGATGGACAGGAAGGCCTGGCGTGCTGTGATTCATGGGGTCGCAAAGAGTCGAACACGACTGAGCGACTGAACTGACTGACTGAGTGATGTGATAAGAGTTCTTTAGGAATAACATGCTGGCCTCAGGGTCAGGGTGGAAGGAAGCAGAAGAGTTTTGAGACCTGGAGATCCTTAGGCCATGGTGGTCCAGGCAGAGAACCTGAGTGAATATAGAGGTGATGTAGAAAGGGAGCATGCTAGTCAGGATGGTGAATTTTCTTGGGAGTAAAATCTGAATAAGGCCTCTGTCATTAGCAAAATTGATTGGCATGAGTTGTATTATTCTCACTTACCTCCTTCTGGTGTGTTAATAGACGAGAAAAATAGTGAAGCAAAACCCATGAATAGTCTGTAACTGTTCATCAGACCATGAATAATTGAACATTATATATGTACTATTGACTGTATTAGAAATGTCTTAGGCATTTCATCTTGATAACATTTATTTCTTCTGATATCTGGTTTAATTCCATACTGCTATTGATGGGGAGACCCAGGCACAAAAGGCCAAACTGGCATAAATTGCTCAGGAGAATTTGGAATATAATTTAGGTCTCTCTCTCTCTATTTATAGTTCTCTGTAGCACTGTGCCTTTTAAACTGTGATATTTGCTTACTGTCTGTTAACGTTTTGTGTGAATATATTAGCTGTCTATTACATATATTAAATTTTTAAAAAAATATATTGTTTATTTAAGTGTCCAGAGTTTAAAACAAATGCCCAGTAAAATTTTCATTGCTGATGGAATTACAAATTGGTGCAATACACTTGGAAAGTAATGTAATAATTCCAGAAGTCACAAATATGTTTGTGTCTAATTTTAGACATTTAACCTAAGGAAATCAACAGAAGCAAAATTATATATACAGAGCTGTTCATTGTATGTGTTTAATAGCAAGGACAAATAACTATACAGAATCTGTAAGAGGAAACGGTATGCAGATATTAAAAAATATGTTTGGAAATATGCAGAAATGGTTGAAGTGAGAAGAGCTGTATGTATATTTTAATACTTTAGTATTCATGTTCTTTGTGATTTAAATGTGTTCTAGTTCTGAAGATGAGGTGGATGTGCTTTTACATGGAACTCCTGACCAAAAACGAAAACTTATCAGAGAATGCCTTACTGGGGAAAGTGAATCCTCTAGTGAAGATGAATTTGAAAAAGAAATGGAAGCTGAGTTAAATTCTACCATAAAAACAATGGAGGACAAGTTATCTTCTCTAGAAACAGGTAAACTTTGAGTTAGATTTTCACATGGATATTTTTCTAAGCTCCGTCATGGCTGAGAGCCTTTTTGCATTCTGTTGTGTCCCCAGCACTTTAAGTCAGTGCCCAGTAAACACGTCTTGAGTGAATGAATAAATGTACTTGGCAACCTGAGCTCAGTTTTCTTTCACTGCTAGTGCAGAATTTTCCTGTGGTGCTGGAAAGAGACTGTTAAGTGTTGTTTACTTATATGATTTCCTTTTGTACTTTTACCTATAGGATAAAGAAAGACACATTAGCTTATAGAAGTACTTTTTAGGTTATATAGCACTGATAGAGCAGATTGAGTAATGTGTCACCATAAATTCCTGTCTTATTTTAGTAAGTAATGAAATACACTTGATTTTGATGCGTAGTCTGTTACGTAAAATGTACCTGACTTGAAAACTGTTTGTGAAAGTAGGACTCCTCTGCATTGGTTTCTGTGTTGTTATTCTATATATTAACTGTTAAGAATTGAAAGCATATATGATAATGATAAAAGCAAAGGCAGATATTAATTAAGAGGAAGAATTAGGGATACAGGCGTATGATGACATAAGTATAGGTAATGTCATGGCACTAGGCATGACTGAGGAGAGGAGCTCTTATCTGCCTTTTTCTAAAGTCCCTTAAAACAAGATGTTTATTTCCTGTTCTCTACAGTAGACTGCATGGCTGAAAGGTAGAGATATCTATACTGGTAACTTGAAAATATGGCTGTTTTGTTTAATTAGATGTGCTTTTATCATTATCACATGTGCTTTCAGTCTCTTTATGGCAAGGGAAGGAGAATAATTTTCTCATGATTTGGAACACTTATTCAAGGATGAGAAGTTCTCTGTAATTGCATAGGGCACAGAAATCCAGTAAGTCACTGACTCCAGTAAGTCATTGACGTGAAAGTATTTTTCCACTGAAATGAAACTGGGAAGGAGCTGATAGCAGTTTGAAGTGATGGAAGAATGTATGGAGTTTTCTATCTTGTCAATTCTGCATGTTTCAGTCTTTAAACTTCTTTTATGATTTGACTAGGGTCTTCAGGAGATGGGATAGTTGGAACAGCTCCGACAAAGTACTATGACAGTATATATTTTGATTCTGATTCTGAAGACGAAGACAAAGCAGGTAAGACGAACATGTTTACCAGGTTTAGCAGTTATATTTTATGAAAGATGTTTTACGTAGCAATTTGATATTAGGTTTTCCCTTTGAGTTTTATCTTTTAAGAAATTGCAGGCAGTTGATGTGAAAACAGAAGCAGGATTGTACATAGAATAGGTGGAAACACACACACTTGAGGACCTGGGACTAGGGCGGCGTGCAGAGGCGCATTTGGGGAGAGGAAGAGAGTCTTGACTCAGTATCTCTCTCCTCAAGCTCTCGGCCTCCTTTTCCTTCAGGGTCCTTTAGCACAGCAGCATTTGCTTTCACAACTGCAGATAGTTTCTAGATTTTTCTCTCTTGTAGAATTTTCCCTAAGTTGTTGCTTTAAAAAAAAAATCAACCTCTCTGTTCTTTGAAATTGATTTTATATAAATTAAAATTTATTTTGGGGGGGCTGTAGTGTGTCTTTATTGCTGCATGCAGGCTTTCTCTAGTTGCGGCAAGCAGGGCCTACTCTTGGTTGTGGTAGTGGGCTTCTTATTGCAGTGGCTTCTCTTGTTGTGGAGCATAGGCTCTAGGCAGCGGGCTGAGGCTTTAGTTGCTCTGCGGCATGTGGGATCTTCCCCGACGAGGGATGGAAATGGTGTCTCTTACGTTGCAAGGCAGATTCTTAACCACTGGACCACCAGGGAAGCCCCTGATTTTGTGTAAATTTTGAGCAAAGTTTAATGACAAGAGCTAAAACTAAATTATATCAGTAGTTGTGATGGAATACGTACATATTTATAAGGTAAAGAAATGATTTTATATTTTTATATGTTGTTGCATAAATACTGACCTGCTCAGGTAGGTCTAGTGTATGTAGATGATCTTAGTGGTTCCCCCCCTCCCACCTCATTTTTGTTCTGATTTCAGTAGTACTTTATATATGAGAACTTATGGAAAATTTAAGACATCAAAAATAGTTTCTAAGGAACTCCCTGGTGGTCCAGTGGTTGAGATTCCATGCTTCCACTTCTGGAAGTCTGGGTTTGATCCCTGGTCTGGGAGCTAAGATTCTGCATGCCAAGCAGTGCAGCAAAAAAAAAAAAAAAAAAATTAGTGTCTATTCTTAACTTGATTTGAGTGGCTTTTTTGAGACTCTGACTTCTCATTATTTGAACTCGGTTCTGAACTTTATTTGAAGGAATAGTTTAAAAAAATTTTTTTTAGGAAAATAGAAAAAATATATACCTTAGGAAATAGGATTCTTCATTTTGTGTAAAAGAGGTGTGAATTTTAGACATGCTACTTAGCCATATTCTTAACATTTTGAAAATTAGCACAAGTGACCAAGAAAAAAAAGAAGAAACAACACAGAATTCCAACAAATGATGAATTACTATATGATCCTGAAAAAGATAACAGAGATCAGGCCTGGGTTGATGCACAGAGAAGAGGGTAAGAAATTTAATATTTCATATCTTTAGGGAAAATGATTAAAAGATGATTTTCACTGTATTCACATTTTGAGTGTATGTGTGTATGTTCATAGAGACTTTGCTGGTGGCTAAGATGGTAAAGGATCTGCCTGGAATGCAGGAGACCCGGGTTCGATATGCAGACTTGCATAAAGAAAGTCTGAGAAAAAAACTACTGAATATTTTGAAAATGAAAAGCAAATTTCAGTCAGGCCGTTGGTTATTTATTTTTATTTGAAATATAGCATCACGGACTCAATGGACTTGAATTTGAGCAAACTCTGGGTGATAGTGAAAGACAGGGAAGCCTGGTGTGTTGCAGTCCGTGGGGTCACAAAGAGCTGGACACGACTCAGCAACTGAACAGCTACAACATAGTTGATTTACAGTGTTATGCCAATCTCTGCTGCAGCAAAGTGACTCAGTTATATACATGTATACATTGTTTAGACCATTTATTTTTTAAAAACTGTTGTTGCATTCAAACTGCTGTAGCTAATCAAGTGTCTGCCTTCAAGAAACAAAGCTGACTTTTTTCAAATAAGCAATATAAAATTACTTAGAGATTAAAAGTTCATGTAGGAAATTCCCTGGGGGTCCAGTGGTCAGGACTCCATGCTTCCACTGCAGGGTGCTCAGGTTCGATTCCTGGTTGGATAACTGAGATCCTGCATGCCTCAGCATGGCCAAAAGTAAAAGAGTTTATGTGGATTAAGAGTGGATGATATGTTTTCTATTTGAATACTTGAATCATGTTTACAAATTTGACTTTTTAAAGTTGAGGTAAGACTCACATGACATAATGTTAACCATTTTGAAGTTAACAGTTCAGTGGCATTTAGTGTGTTCACAGTGGTGTGCAACCACTACCTATGTTTATTTCAAACCGTTTCCATCATTCCAAGAGAAAACCATACCCTCTTTCAAATTTGATTTCATAAAGATCGATTTATCATAAAAATGAAAGCTGAAAGCTTATCACTATTACCTAATGTTACCCTAGCCTGCCTGAGCTTCAGAATCTCCTGGTGAGAGTGAAATGCAAACCCTTGAGTCCTGCTCTAGGAGGTTTTGATTCATCGAGGGTGGGGCCCAGGAATCTATAGTTACCCAGTCCAGAGGGAATGTGATGCTGTGTGGGTCTTTGTGCACCACGTTTTAGTTTCCACTCTCCTACTTGTCTTTTTTTCCTCTCCCAGTTTCACCCATGCACCACTTAAAGCTGCCTCTTGCATTTATGTGAAGAGTAGTTTTCACACCTACAGTGTGAAATGAACATTTTAAGTGCTACGAGTGCTGTTGAAATAATTAAGGAGCTTATGATCTAGCTCCTGATTCTGGTAACAGAAGTTGTCAGTGACTTAAGATGGAATGTATTTTCATTGTTACATAATCTTGAGAAGTAACATTTTAGTATCTTACTCACATTCCTATGTCAACAGTAGTTGCCTTTTAGGACCACAGAAACCTGCTTCAGGTAATGAATTCAGTACATTTTAAGCACCACAGGGACTGTGATCATACCTGTCTTGTTCAGTGCTGTATCCCAAGCATCTTGCACATTGTCATATGGATACTCACTATCTGTTGAATGAATAATTTAGTTATTTTTTTGAGGTTTGAAAATTTTCAAGCATTTGGAGGTATTTAACAACAGTTATGAAATATATACCACATGTTCTCAGTATTTTTCCCCACATAAAAGAGTTTAGAAAGTAATGCCAAGTGATTTTGTGTTTCGAAGTTCAGTTTTTTTAAGTTTCCCATAAGCCCCCCCCTTTTTTTCTTTCCATAAGCCCGTTTTAAGAATATATCCTTTTATACTTTAGTGTCTTCGTGAGTCGATTCATACTTTATTTTTTCAATCAGCACATATTTGTTGAGCACTTACTATATCCCAGACACTGTTTCAGACTCTTGAAATACAGAAGGGGACAAAACAGAATAAGATTCTTAGGCACTTAGAGCTTACAGTGCTCGCTTTTTAAAAGTAGCTTTATTGATGTGTGTGTGTTTAATTAGTAAACTTTTTAAGAATAATTCTAGATTTACAGAAAAATGCAGCTGGTAATACAGAGAATTTCCTTATTACTCCCCCCTCACCAACAGCAAGGTGACCTGACTACTGGAGTCCTGACCACTGGACTGTCAGGGAATTCCCAGATTTCCTTAGTTTTTATTCTAATATCCATTTTCTCTTCCAAGAGCCCATCTGGGATACCATGTTACATTTAGTTGTTATGTCTACTGAGGCTTTTCTTGGCTATGAGTTTCTCAGACTTTCCTTGGTTTTGATGACTAACAGTTTTGAGGAGCATGGATCAGGAATATTGTGGGAGGCTCCCTTATTGGAATTTATCTAATGCTTTTCTCATGATCAGACTGGAATTAGAGATTTTGGGGAGAAAGACCACAGAAACCACAGAGGTAAAGTGCTATTTTCATCACTTCATATCAAGGGTACATACTATCATGCATGATTTAGTTCCTTAGCTGTAAAGTTACTCTTTCCACACTTTTCTGTACCTTCTGTTTGGAAGGATGTCATTATATTTAGCCTAGACTTAAGGAGTCTGGAGTTATGTTCCACCTCCTTGAGGGGGGAGAGTATCTTCATAAATTATTTATAATTCTTACATATGGGAGGCGTGTCTGTTCTCCCCCATTTAGTTACATATTAAGTCATTTATGTCAGCATGGAGTCATGGGTATTTATTTATACTTTGCTTATAATATAACACTGTTTTATTTCAGTGCTCTAATTGTTTTGATTTCAGTCATCAGGGGCTCTTTGAGTTGGCTCCTGTGCCCCTTTAACATACTTGTCTCGTGGATTTTTGGTTTTGTTTTTTCTTTTTGAGCACTGCCTTACTTTCTGGCACTACAGAATGTTCCAGGTCTACCTTATGTGCCTCATTCCTAGAATTAACCATTTCTCTAAAGGGTACTGATTTCTTGTATTGGAAAGTGCCATTAGAAAGGAAGATCTGGCTTTAATGTGCTTCACCCTTCCTCTTTCTGTTCTAGGTACCATGGTTTTGGAATGCAGCGACCACGTCAACAGCAGCGGCCTGTTCCGAACAGCGATGCTGTCTTGAATTGCCCTGCCTGCATGACTACACTGTGTCTTGATTGCCAGAGGTAACTGATAAAGGGTAACAACACACACATACACACATGCATGAAAATAAGACCACTTGGTGGTCCTTGTTTAAATCTGAAATAGACTTTTGAGGTACTTAGGAATTCTGATTAAGTTCTGCCCTCATATATCCCTTGTGCTGCTTGACTAATCTTTATACAAATAATTTTGGTTATATATAGTCTGACTAGCTTTTTTAATAAAGTACTTGCCAGTGCTGATAAGGATTCCGTAAAACTGCATATATGTTGTAGGATGACGAAATCTCTCAAATAGACTCATTTCTTTTCTATTGTGATAATATAAGATTTACTATTTTAAGCATTTAAAAATGTTGCTGTAAGAGTATTTCATTTGAATATTCAATTTATTGTCAGCTAGACCATTTAAGAATTAAAAACAAAGTTTTCCCAGCTTTATTGAGATGTAATTGACATATACCATTGTATAAGCTTTAGATATATAGTATACAGTGTAATGATTAGATATTCAAATATACTGCAGAATGATTACCACAGTAAGGTTCGTTAACAGCCATCACCTCACATAGTTCCCTTTTTTTGGTGGTGAAAACTTTTAAGATCTACTCTCAGCATTTTTTAAGTATGTAATACAGTGGGAGACTTGGGTTCGATCCCTGGGTTGGGAAGATCCCCAGGAGGAGGTCATGGTAACCCACTCAGTGTTCTTACTTGGAGAATCCCTATGGACAAAGGAGCCTGGTGGGTTACAGTCCGTGTGATTGCAGAGAGTCAGACACGACTGAGCAACTAAGCGCGTGCACACACACACACAACTAAGCGCAGCACGTTGTTAACTATAGTCATCATGCTGTGCATGCATCTCCAGAGCGAAATCATTTTAACTGGAAGTTTGTATCTTTTGACCACCTTCATCCACCTATCCTCCCCCACCAACTTTATGAATTCAGTTGTTTGTTTGTTTTTTTCAGTTTCCACATGTAAGTGAGATCATACAGTATTTGTCTTTCTCTTTCTGCCTCATTTCACTTGGTATAATTCCTTCAAGCTTCATCCATGTTGTTACAAATGGCAGGATTTTCTTCTTTTTAATGGCTGATTAATATTCTATTGTGTGTATATACCTTTTTTTCTTTATTCATTCATCAGTTGATGGACATATATGTTGTTTCCACATCTTGGCTGTTGTAAATGATGCTGTGATGGGTTTTTGGGAGGAAGACTACTGAAGTAAAGTGCCATTTTCATCACACTATATCATAGGCAACAGGCTATCAACATGATTTGTGGCTGTTAATGCTGATGTTGATCACCTGGCTGAGGCGAGGGCTCAGGTATCTCTTTGAGACAGTGCTTTCATTCCTTTGTGTACATTCCCAACAGTGGAATTGCTAGATCATATGACAGTTCTACTTTTAACTTTTTGAAGTGCCTCTGTACTGTTTTTCATGGTGGCTGTATCAATTTACATTCCTCCCAATAGTACACAAGGGTTCACTTTTGTTATCTCTCGTCTTTTTGATCATATCTATTCTATGAGGTGATATCTTACTGTAGTTTTGAGGTGATAATCTTACAGTAGTTTTGATATGTAGTTCCCTGATGGTTTGTGATAGTGAGTACCTTTTTGTGTACCCATTAGCCATTTGTATGTCTTTTTTGGAAAAATGTCTATTCAAGTTCCTTGCCCACTTATTAATTGGATTTTTTACATTGAGCTCCTTGTGTATTTTGGAAATTAACCCCTTATCAGGTACATGATTTCCTAGTATTTTTTCCCATTCCATAGGTTGCCTTTTTATTTTGTTGATTGTTTCTTTGCTGCGCAGTTTTTTAGGTTGATGTAGTTCTGTTTGTTTATTTTTGCTTTTGTGGCTTGTGTCTTAGGTGTCAGCTCCAAAATATTGCCAAGACCAGTGTTAAGGAGCTATTTTTTATGTTTTCTTTTAGGAGTTTTTCGATTTCAAATTTTAAATTTTAGTCTTTATTTCAAATTAATTTTTGTGTGTGGTGTAAGTTAAGGGTCCAATTTCATTTTTTTGCCTATAATATCCAGTTTTCCCAATACCATTTATTGAAGAGGTTGTCTTTTCCCCATTGAATATTCTTGACTCCCTTGCCAAATATTAGTTTATGGTATATCCATGGGTTTATTTCTGGGCTCTTGGTTCTGTTCTGTTGATCAATGAGTCTGTTTTTTTTATGCCAGTTCCATACTGTTTTGATTACTATAGCTTTGTAGCATAGTTAGAAATCAGGAAGTGTGATGCCTCTAGCTTTGTTCTTCTTTCTCAAGATTGTTTTGGCTATTTGAGGTCTTTTATGGTTCCATACAAATTTTAGATTTTTTTATGTTTTTAGGAAAATGCTATTGGAATTTTGATAGGGTTTGCATTGAATCTGTACAATGGCTTTGGGTAGCATAGACGTTGTAGCAGTATTAATTCTCCCAGTGTATGAGCATGGGACATCTTTACGTTTATTTGTGTTTTCTTCACTTTCTTTCATCACTGTCATAGTTTTCAGTGTATAGATCCTTCACCTCCTTGGTTAAATTTATTCCTAAGTAGTTTATTGTTTTTATTGTGAATGACATTGTTTTCTTAATTTCTCAGTTTGTTGTCAGTGAAAATGCAACAGATTTTTGTTGTTTGCTTTTGTATCCTGAATCTTTACTGAATTTATTAGTTCTAACATTTTCTTGTTGGAATCTTTAGAGTTTTGTATACATAAGATCATGTCATCTGGAAACGGGGACAGTTTTACTTCTTTCTTTTCTGTTTGGTTACCTTTTCTTTTTTTAACCTGATTGCTTGGACTAAGATTTCTAGAAATATATTGAATAGGAGTGGTGAGAATGGACACTCTTATCTTGTTGTCTGTTTTAACCTTTTTTTTTAAAAATTTTAAACTTTTTATTTTGTTTTGGGGTAAAGCTGATTGACGATATTGTGGTAGTTTCAGATGAATAGTGAAGGGACTCAGCCGTATACATATATATTTATCCAATCTCCCCCAAACCCCTTCCCATTCAGACTTGCACATAAGGTTGAGCAGAGTTCCCTGTGCTATATACGATAGGTCCTTGTTGGTTATCCATGTTAAATATAGCAGTGTGTACCTGACTTCAGTGTACAATTCAGTGACATGAACTACAGTTACAGTTGTGCAGCCATCATGACTCTCCATTTCCTGAATTTTTTCATCACTCCAGACAGAAACTGTTTCCCCATTAGACAGTAAGTCACCATTCTCCATCCCTACCTATCCCAGCCTCTGGTAATCTCTATTCTACTTTCCTTTTGGATTGTTCTTTGCTAGTGTATAGAAACAGCAGATTTTTATGTCTTCATTTTGCACTCTGCAACTTTGCTGCATTAATTTATTAGCTCTGATAGTTTTTTGTGTAATCGTTATAGAACTTTAAACATACAATATCATGTCATCTGTGAACAGAGAAGATTTTACTTCTTCCTTTCCAGTTTGGATGCCTTTTATTTCTTTTTCTTACCTAATTGCACTATTGTAACTTTCAAGTTGGATAGAAGTGATGAAATCAGGTATTTTTTTGTCTTGATCCTTGTCTTAGAGGAAAAGTTTTGTCTTTCATCATTGAGTATGATGTTAGCTATGAATTTTTTATATATGGCCTTTATTATATTGAAGAGGTTTCCTTCTATTAGTTTTTGGGTGTTTTTATTATGAAAGAGTGTTGAATTTTTCAAATGCTTTTTATGCATCAATTGAGAAGATCATGTATTTTTTTTATCCCCTTCATTCTATTAATCCAAATATACTCTTTCCCTTTTCCTCTCCTTTTTTTTCCAGTAGCCTTATAAATGTCTAACTTGGTTCGTGTTCTAAATCAGGGTAACGGAAACTAAATGACGATGCAGGTGGTAGATTTGCTCTAGTCACTGAGTAGCCAGATGTAGTTTTACTCTTACTGGCTGACTTGAGGTTTCTGATCATCTGCAACGATGAATTTTTGTGCTCTCCATTTGAACTCTTAAGCTTTTTGTATATAAATTGACACCTAGAATAGGAAATAAAGAGAAAGTAAAGTACCTTTGTACTTGTTGCTTCTCTTTTAAATTAAACCATGCTGCTATCTTACAGGGTTCCTATACCCAAAAGAAGTTGCTTCATGATCTAACAGTAGAAATTGGTCTTGGTAAAAATTGTGTTCCCTATGAATACAGGATTCCAATATGGTGGAGTATAAATGTAATTTTTATGGTCTCACCTAGAGAAGCACCAGCCTGGTCGTTGGTGGAAGAGGATAAGATCAGCGTTTAGAACCAATCGAGGCATAACTTGACTTCCTGTTTTTAGCCAAATAGATATTTCTATTGTATGAGGTTTAAGGGGGAGAAAAGGAAAGTAACTTACTAAGTCAACGAAAGTAGGAAAACATTAAGTTATTTGAGGAAAACAAAGAAAGCATTATTTATTCTTTAGACTATTGGAGTGAAGCCAAGAATGGACATTATAAAGTCAGATGCTCTTTAAGCTTTTAAAACTGTAGCTTTTACTAAAATAGTGACCAAAATGGCACCACCTGTAATGAGAGGAGGGCAGAGTCTCAGGCCACAACAGGAAAAGATGCAGGCAAAGATCTTTTAAACATTACCTCTCAAGTTCCAACAACTTTTCTTCTCTTTCTGTGTTGGAAGAGCAAATCAAAAACTTTTTTTACTGAGGTAAAAGTTAGCTTTAGAGCAGTAGAATATATTCATTCTTTATTATCTATTTTTGTAACAGGTCCCTTCCTATTCTTAAAATAACTCTTAAAAGTTTTTGAATTTCTTGTTTTGTTCTCATGTTTTAACTTTGGTTGGTATTTCAGTAAGTTTTTGATAGTCTTAAATTTTAATCTAAATGTGTAACTATTAAAATAGAACATAAATCCAAATTCTCCATTTCATTTTCCTCTTAGGCATGAATCATATAAAACTCAATATAGAGCAATGTTTGTAATGAATTGTTCTGTCAACAAGGAAGAGATTCTGAGATACAAACCCCCAGAGAACAGGAAGAAAAGGCGAGGCCATAAGAAGATGAGGTCTAACCAAGAAGGTGCTGCGGAGGAGGCAGAGACAGATGTGGAAGAAATCTATCACCCAGTCATGTGCACCGAATGTTCCACTGAAGTGGCAGTCTTTGACAAGGATGAAGTCTTCCATTTTTTCAATGTTTTAGCAAGCCATTGCTAAATAGCCAAGTTGGCATTTAATTGCCCAATACTGTATACAAGGCAAAATACAATTATATTCTTCCTGCATACTCATCTCAAGTGACATTCTGAGTGGTTATTTGAGGAAGCAGTGTTTTATCTTTATCTTTTTGAAAGAAAATGGTTATCTGCTTTCATCCCTCCACTTCCTTTAAAGAAAAAGAAAATTTCCCCAGTTCTGATGGGATTTATTATTCATTCCTTTTTTTGATAGATACTTGGAAACTGGGGCCTTTTATTTATTAAAGTTCTATAGAATTAAAATGTTCTAGAGTTACAGGTAACTTTTGTTTCAGAGTGCTACTTTTATTTTCTATTTTGGATATACACTTGGTGTACTTAAACTGGAACCTGTTTCCTCACTTCTGTCTATATTGTTTTTGCTTAGAAGTATGTTTATTTCTCTTCTATCCCATAGGATAGAGTGAACAGTATTTAGTAACTGTTAAAATTAGGTAGAGTTAGTATGGGGGTGCCTTGGGTAATTAACACAGGTCTTTCCTTAGAAGGATGGTACTTACCAGTATTTTAAACTTAATGAATTAATATAGTAAAATAGAAATTTGTGGTAAGGAAGAGCAGACTCACCCTCTAGCTTTAGACTTAAAAAATTCTGTTGCTGTCTCTTGTGCTACCATTTATTTCAGAATTACTGTTGCAAGCAACCAAGATATGTTTGTTTTTGCTCTTAATAATAGAAAAACCACTAGTGGCAGCTTGGAGGAAATTGCAGTGTAGGCATCTGTACATTTTAGCTTTTTTAAAAAAATATGATTGGACTCTTTCCAAAAACAACATTAGGAAGCTCAGGGTCCTCTTGTTATTTTAATAGAGATGTGATAGAGTGAAAAAAAATCAGGATGAGATTAGAGAAGAGCAGTGATTTTTCCACAGAGGTCAGGGCTCAACAGAGCTTGAGGGGGACTTCTGCTTTCTTCCTCAGAGAATGATGTGTCTCCAGGAGGGAAAACATCCTTTCCACCTCCCTGCCTTTTGCACTTTGTACACTTTCTACTAAAAGGCTACACATAAGGTGAACTGGAACCAGTGATAGTGTGGTGTTTGTAGGAATTGGATGGAGGCAGAAGAATGATAAAGAATTTGCTTCTAGGAAATTTCCAGTGTCTTAATATCATAGTTGATCATTTTTGTGATGTGCTGATATCTATCCAGTTGAATTGTGGTGCTGGAAAAGACTCTTGAGAGTCCCTTGGACTGCACAGAGATCAAACCAGTCAACCCTAAAGGACATCAACCCTGACTATTCATTGGAAGGACTGATGTTGAAGCTGAAACGCCAATATTTTGACCACCTGATGCAAAGAGCTGACTCATTTGAAAAGACCCTGATGCTGGGAAAGATTGAGGGCAGGAGGAGAAGGGGTGACAGAGGATGAAATGGTTGGATGGCATCATCGACTCAGTGGACATGAGTTTGAGCAAACTCCAGGAGATAGTGAAGGATAGGGAAGCCTGGCGTATTGCAGTCTGTGAGGTTGCAAGGAGTAGACATGACTGGGCAACAAAAATCCAGTTGAAAGCAATATGTATACTTTTAAATGTTTCAATATATATGCTTTTAAGTGTTTCAGTGTATATACTTTTAAATGTTTCAACATGTTGCCAGATAATACATTACAGAATAATACTGCTAGTCTACTTATTTTAACCTTGTGTTTGTCTTACTGTAGCTTTGTAAGATCTCTTTCTGTCATACTATCACTGTGTCAGGAGTCTGGGCATGGCTTAGCATTATCTTCTACTGAGGGTCCAAGAAGGTTGTAATCCAGTTGTTGGCCAGGTTGTATTCTCATCTGAAGACTTGCCCAGGGAAGATTTCACTAACTGCTGCGCTTCCAAGCTACTACAAGTTGTGAGGTGGTGGGACTGAGGTTGCTGTTTTCTTGCTTGATATAGGCCAGGTGCTGCTCTCTAGAAGCCTCCTGCCAGGATGTATCTATGCTTCTGTTTTGTGTTTCCACGTGTATCATTCATGAACCCTTTGTCCCCTGCAGTGGAAGCATTGCAGTTTCTTAACCACTGGATCACCAGGGAAGTTCCTGTGATTGCTTCTTTTCTGAGCCCCTTATCCTTACCCGTAGATGTTTCATCCTCACAATCCCCTAGCCCTCCCTTGCAGGAGTCACTGCCACCCTCTTCTGAACTGTTATGTAATTTGGAAATGGAGGCAGGCAGTTAGGGAATGGAAGGAGAAAAGGGAGACCCTACCCCGTGTCATCAAATATTAAGATGTATGCATATCCAATGTTGAATATCTTTTCTCAAAAAACTTTCTGCATGGATTACCCTTGTTTTGGAAATTAATTGACTGTGTTGACTCATTAATGATTTGATATGTGTTTTAAGCAGTCATGCATATGTGAGAATTCTTGAGAAATGTAAAAATCTAATGTGCTAATTATTTTCAAATGTAAGGAAATTTGTATGTTTTAAAATGAAAAATTAAGTTTATATATTAATTTAATGGAACATTTTTAAATTTTGTAGTTTAATTTTCTTAAATTGGTGTCTGCCCTTTTCATGCCTAGATCTCAGGCATTTTCTTATGTTTTCATTTCTGGAAAAGCTTGTAGGCCCTGGGCTTCCTGCCTGCGGTGTGAAATGGATAAATTGGATTTGATCGAGTCGTCTTATAGATCAGTAAGGGAACAAAAAGTTGGCAGTAGTTTATCAACATCCCATACTCAGGTAATTAAGCAATTTCAATAATTCTTAATAGCATGGCAGATTTTTATTATCTTTTTTTTTTATTTTTATTTTTATTTATTTATTTTTTTTATTATCTTTTAATAGGTGTTGGCTAATGGGACCTAGGGAAGCACAGGAAAATTTCTTTTGCATTAAAGCAGTTCTAGGCAGCGTAGTATTTATTCAGAGTGATGGATTGCCAGGGCTGCCACAACAAAATACCACAAACTGGGTGGCTTAAACAACAAATGTATTTTCTGACAGTTTAGGAGGTGGAAAGCCCAAGTTCAAGGTCAGCAGGTTTGGTTTTTTGTTTTTGTTTTGAGTCTTCTTTCCCTAGCAGGAGGCCACCTTCTTGCTGTGTTTTCACGTGACTTTTCTCTGTGTGTATGCAGGTCTGTCCTCATCTCTTCTTAATAAGGAAAGCAGTTATAATGGATTAGGGCCTACTTATGTGACCTCATTTTATTGTAATTACCTCACTACAGATCCTGTCTCCAAGCACAGTCACGTTATGATGCACCAGGGGTTCGGATTTCAGCATATGCATTTTGAGAAGATACTTAGCCCATAACAATTGTCATCCTTTATTTTATGCAGTAGCAAACTTGATGATAAATCACACTTCAATTAAGGTAAATCTTTTTACCTACTGTCTTCCAATGGGAATATGCTGCTCTCCCACCCCTCAGTGAAACATATCCATAGCAAGAGTAAAACCTTAAGATCAAAAGCGGAAACAATTTTGAATCACTCTGTACCCTCCAGATCCTCCTCCCGCAACTTTGATTTTTTCTTCCTGTTTTACGAAGTCTTGTCTTTCTTCAGTCCTTCTTCAAATGATGAGCATACCTTCCAGATACAGAGTTGCTCCATTTCATGTGGAAGATTCTATAACTTGGCTTCCCTTTCCCTTTTTGTCTGAGATCTCAATGAACTGTTTAAAAAAAAAACACCTAATTTTAAGGAAGTAGAGTTGATGTACAATATTGTACTCTGCTCTATAGTAGTGTGATTGAGATACATAGATAGATAGGTATTCTTATCCATTGTGGTTTCTTATAGAATATTGGATATAGTTCCTTGTGTTGTACAGTAGGGCCTTGTTTACTCTATATATAATAGTTGCATTTGCTAACCCCAGCCTCCCAACCAATCCTTCCCCCTTTCCCCTTCTCCTTAACACTACAAGTCAGTTCTCTATGTCTGTGAGTCTGTTTCTGTTTTGGTAGGTAAGTTTTCAATGAACTCTTCTTCTTCCACCTCACTATCCCCCTCTTTTTTCTTTTCCCCCTCTTTTTTTGATTTCTCTTTCACCTTCCTTTTTATTTTCAGTGTTACTCTGTGCTAAGGCCTAGACATACAGAGTAAGAAAGGACACATGTTCTTTTCATGAAGTTGACTGTCCACCGTGAGAAGACGACCTTTAAAAAAAATGCACTGACTTTAGATGGTAACTGGGAGTTGTGATTTGATGTGAAAGTAAGGGGGAGTGTGTGTGTTAAATTTAAATAGAGCTTGGAGAAGGCCTAATTAAGTGGTATTTGAGCTGAAACCTCCCCATTGAGAAGAAGAGTTACTTTACTGCAGATGGATATTTGGTTTGTTTTTCTTCCTATTTTGATGTTAAAAACATTGACACTTTGAACATTCTTATACACATTTCTTGATGGATATTTCCAAGAATTTTAAGGTTAAATCTAGGAGTGTTAATTGTATGTTATACTGTATGTGAGTGTTTAGTTTTCAGGATGGTGCCAAATCATTTTCCACAATAGTTGTACCAATTTACATCCACGAGGGAAACAAAAGAAATTCCATTTAATAGGCTTCCCTGGTGGCTCAGTGGTGAAGAATCCGCCTGCCAGTGCAGGAGACATGGGTTCACTCCCTGATCTGGAAAGATCCCACCTGGCGAGGAGCGACTAAGCCCGTGTGCCACAACTGTTGAGCCTGTCTGTGCTCTAGAGCCTGGGAGCATTAAGTACCAAGCCCGCGTGCCCGAGCCTGTGCTCTGCAACGAGAGAAGCCGCCGCAGCCTTTCTGTCCGACATCTCAGCGAGGCGGCAGTTGTCGCAGCTGCTCTCCCGGCTTCGCTATGCCGCCCAAGGACGAGAAGAAGAAAGATGCCGGAAAGTCGACCAAGAAAGACAAAGATCCAGTGAACAAATCTGGGGGCAAGGCCAAAAAGAAGTGGTCTAAAGGCAAAGTTCGGGACAAGCTCTATAACCTCATCATGTTTGACAAAGCAACATGTGACAAACCCTGTAAAGAAGTTCCTAACTCTAAGCTTATAACTCCAGCTGTCGTCTCTGAGAGACTGCAGATTCGTGGTTCCCTGGCCAGGGCAGCCCGTCAGGAACTCCTTAGTAAAGGACTTACTAAACTGGTTTCAAAGCACAGAGCTCAAGTGATTTACAGCAGACACACCAAGGGTGGAAATGAAGATGCATGAACAGGTCCCACCAACTGTACATTTTGAAAAATAAAGCTTTATTAAATAAAAAAAAAAAAAAAGAGAAGCCACTGCAATGAGAAGCCTGCAACTGAAGAGTAGCTCCGCTGCTCACTAAACTGAGACAAAAGCCTGCGCAGCAATGAAGACCCAACACAACCAAAAAAAAAAAGGACTCAGAGCCAGGATTCATTAAAAAAAAAAGAGAAATTCCATTTGAGAATCTCCCAAACTTCCCATAAGACTCTTCATTCTTGTCAGTGCTTCACAAATTTAATTTTTACCAACCTAAATATTTATTTTTACCAATTTTTCATTGCAATTTTAATTTTATTTTCCTGATTATTATCTGTTTTTTATTTTACTTTTAAAAATAAAGTAAAAAATACATTGTGGGTAGCAGACTTTTGTGAGTGATATATTGCAAATACTTTCATTTTGTGGCTCTCATTTCACCTTCCTCATAGTTTCTTTTAATGAAAAAAAGTGTCTTTTAAGATGGTCGAATTTGTCATTTTATGGTTAACACTTTTTGTGTCTTGTTTAATAGCTTTCTCCTAACCCTGAGGTCACAGATATTCTCTATTTTCTTTGAAATGTTTCCAAAATATCTACTCATATCTAATTATTTTATCTATCACTGATTCCTTTTTTCCTTGTGGATACTTAGTACTCTTTACTAAAAAGTCCATTCTTTCTCCAATGACCTAAATGGCACCTCTGTCTTATCAAATTTCCAAGTGTGCATGGATCTACTTCTGGGCTCTCCATTTGGTTTTATTGGTTGGTGGTTTTGTACCAATGCAGTGTACCATGTTCATTTCTGTGGCTTTATGGTAAGTCATGCTATTACATTTTAGAAGCAACTAGTAGAAGTTCTATAAACCTGTTTGAGATCTTAATTGGAAATTCATTTAATCTTTAGGTCATGTTAAAGAAATTGACATCTTTACAATATTGACTCTTTCTATCAATGAACATGATATTGCTCCACTTATGTTTCAAGGAGGTTTTATAATTTTTTACATGCCACTCTTGAATACCTTTTAAAAAGACTTATTTTGTAGGTTATAAGGAGCTCATGATCTGAGCCACAGTCAGCTCCAGGTACTCTTTGGAAAAGACCCGGCTGCTGGGAAAGATTGAAGGTAAAAGAAGGGGGCAGCAGAGGATGAGATGGTTAGATAGCGTCACTGATTCAATAGACGTGAATCTGACCAAACTCTGGGAGGACAGGGACTCCATGGGGTTGCAAGAGTCAGACATGGTTTAGTGACTGAACAATTCTAGGTAACTAATGATTTTTACTATCTATTTAAATGGTCTCTTTTTTTTTGGCTGTGCTGGGTCTTCCTTGTTGCACTGACTTTTCTCTGCTTGTGGCGAGCAGGGGCTGCCCTGTTGCAGTGTGGTGGCTTCTGTTGCGGGGCCTGGGCTCTGGGGTACATGGGTTCAGTAGTCGCAGTTCCTGGGCTCTAGAGCACAGGCTCAATAGTGGTGGTGCACAGACTTAGTTGCTCCAGCGCATGTGGGATTCTCCTGGACCAGGGATCAAACCCATATCTCCTGCATTGGCAGGTGATTCTTTACCACTGAGCCACCAGGGAAGCCCCTAAATTGTCTCTTTAAAAAAAATTGCTTTCTAAATGTGTTATATAGATATGCAGCTGCTTTTTAACTTTTTTTTTCTTTTTTTGCTATACCGTGTGGCTTGCAGGATCTTAGTTCCCTACCAAGGATTGAACCGTGGACCATGGCAGTTAAAGCACCAAGTCCTAACCATGGGACTGTCAGGGAATTCCCGACTTCTTTTTTTTTCTTAACTTTAATTTTTATACAATTGTAGATTCATAGGAAGTTGCAAAAATAGTATAGAGAGTTCCATGTATTCTTTACCCAGTTTCCCAATGCTTCTATCTTATATGGATATAGTACAGTATCAAAGCCAAGAAATGGACATTGGTGCAACATATATGGACGGTTCTGTGTCATTTTATCAAGTGTATAGATGCCTGTAACCATCAGTGCTATCAAGAAACAGACCTATTCCATTACCACAAAGCTCTCCCTCATGCTGCCTGTTTAAGGATTTATCTACCTGGCATTCGAGTATTATTTTTAGACCCTGGTAGTTAATAATCTATTCTCCATATCTATAATTTTACCATTTTGAGGAATTTATCTAAATGGACTCATACAATACATAGTCTTTTGAGAATTTTTTTTTTTTCACTCAGTATAAATGCCCTGAGATCCATCCAAATCATTGCATGTGTCAGTAGGTCATTCCTTCTGTATTTCATTTTCTGGATGTATTACAGTTTTAGTCATTCAGCTATTGAAGGAGCAATTGCTTTTTTTAATAAAAAAGCAAATGCCCACTTTAATCATAATTCTGAATTGCTTTTTTTGTGTTAACATCTATGGTTTTATAAAGCATAGTAAACTAAGCTAGGTATTATTATTTTGCATTTTGGCCATGGCACATGGCATGTGGCCATGTTCTCTGACCAGGGATCGAACTCATGCCCCCTGTGGTGGAAATGTGGAGTCTTAACCACTGGACTGCCAGGGAAATCCCAGTATTATTAATTTTTATTGGTTAGTAAGATTTGAGACATATATAAATGATATCTCTATGATATACATTATAGTTATAACTGCTGCTGCTGCTGCTAAGTTGCTTCAGTCGTGTCCGACTCTGTGCAACCTCATAGACAGCAGCCCACCAGGTTCCCCCATCTCTGGGATTCTCCAGGCTAGAACACTGGAGTGGGTTGCCATTTCCTTCTCCAGTGCATGAAAGTGAAAAGTGAAAGTGAAGTTGCTCAGTCGTGTCTGACTCTTTGCGACCCCATGGACTACATGCAGTCTGCCAGGCTCCTCCATCCATGGGATTTTCCAGGCAAGAATACTGGAGTGGGCTGCCATTGCCTTCTCGGATAGTCGTAACTAGACAATTCAAATTCACACATTTAGGTGAAATATTTGTAACTGTATTTATTTCTTCATTTTGACCACCCTGTGGGGCTTTTGTGATCTTAGTTTCCCAACCACGGATTGAACCCAGGCCCTTGGCAGTGAAAGCAGAGTCCTAACCACTGGGCCACCAAGGAATTCCTCTATTTAGTCATAATAAATTTAGATCTACCTGGAAAAGATATTACCTATCATAGGGCTAAGTACCTGAAAAGCACTTCTGGTATAATTGATTTAATATAAAGTGATTATTATTATTTTTTTTATAAAGTGATTATTTAAATATACAGACACATGTGCACATAGCTTTCCTCCATGTCTGTCTTTTTTTTCTTTTTTCAGTATTTATTTATTTGGCTGTGCCAGCTGTTAGTTTTAGCATTCTGGATATTTTTTGGTTGTGGCATGTGGGCTCTAGTTCCCTGACCAGGGATTGAACCCTGGCCTCCTACAATGAGAGCATGGAGTCTTAGCCACTAGACCATTAGGGAAGTCACTGGTTTGACATGTTTTAGAATTTGATTTAATTCACCTGTGGACATGCAAACCTTCAGGTTCCACTCCAAACCAACTAAGTCAGAAACTTGGGCGGGGGGGGGGGGGGGGGGGGGGTGGGGGTGGGGGGGGGGGAGTGGTACCCAGCTGTCTTTTTACAAAAGCCTTCCAGGTGATTCTGATGCACTCTGAAGTTTGAGAACCACTATGATAGACTTTTTTTTTTTATGGCCAAGGAAAAAACAAGCCAGAGAACATTTGAACATAAACCCTAATAGGTTTTGTACTTGCTACTGTCTTTCTCCTGCTTTTGGTCTCTACTTTTGGTCAGGTGGGGTGTGTTGCTGTTACTTCTAGGGCCAAAACAACCTCAGCCCAAACACTAGTGGTGTCCTTGGCTTTTGGCTTAGGAGCAGCAGGCATGGCCTGGTTGTTTTTTTCTCTTGATCCTGTTTCTCAGCCGGAGCTGAGGGCTAGCTGTATCACAAGGCTTTGAGAGTGGTTTTGGAAGTTGAAAATCTGCAGTGTTGATCTATCTAGAATGGGACTGTGAAGATCCTTGGTGAGTCCTTACAGATGATTCATCTGCTCAGGCCAGGGTTGGCGGTGGGGATGGTGTGGTGCGTATTTGTGGTGGGTGGGGGAGGGGGGATTGTAATGATCACAGATCCAAGGACTGAAAAGGACATTTTGGGCCTGAGCTGTGTGGCTTGGACTCTAGGATCAGGTTTGTTCACAGTCTTAACTGTCAATCCTTTCTTTTTAAGTCCTTTTTGGGATTATGCCTAGAAAATGTTCTTCCTTTCTCCCCATTTATGCTGCTTTTATCTGTTTTTCTTTATTTTTCAAATACCTCATTGGTCCACTTGCAATTTATTCTGGCTTTAAATTGTTATTTAATGTGTCCATTTGGAGGACACTAACATTTCATTTTATCATGTTTCCCATCTACTGCATCTCTTCCTTATTAAAATCTCTTGGTCTTTGTAAATTAGTAAAAATTACCACACATTTTCAAAGTTTACTGTCAGGTATTTTTGTTTGGTTTTTGCCATTGAAAATTGGATCTTTTGTCCACTATATTTTCTCACAGGTAACAGCTGGAGGAAAGCCAGTGATGTAAGCAACGGTTGTATTTTATAACGCACTACCGTGCTGACCTTCAAGTTGTTACGGGTTTTCAGGTGACTTTCTTGGGTTGTCTTCCTGTTACCCGCAGGCAGCGCTTCTCCACTGGTGTCCAGCATACTGTGAATGTGTTCTTTCTGTTGTCTTTTTTGCTTCTTTTTCTCTAGAACTCTTCATTCTCCAAGTTGCAGTCCTTCAACCAGTCAGTGCACAGTCTCTTCCTCAGGGGAGAGTCCATCCACTTTTTAAAGTTTGCCTCAGTGTTAATGGTTCCCAGTGTATTCTGAGCCTTGACTCGAATTCTGAATGTCTGAAAGCACCCTGGACTGTCCTAGGACCTTGAAATGTGCTTTTTAAAGGTGAATAGGGACTTCCCTGGAGGTCCAGCTGTCAGACTCTGAGCTTCCACTGCAGGGGGCACGGTTTCCATCCTTAGGAGACTAAGATCCCACATACTGCACAGGACAAAAAAAGAAAAAAAATCAAAACCAAAAAAGCTCAGCAAAATAGTCTAGGATTCCTTTATTCCGGTTGTGATATCCACTTCCTGTGTAGTTTTCAGATTTAAAATTTTTCTTTGTTTTCCACCTCCACTTAATTAACAAATCTTTTTTTTTTTTTAATCTTCCTTTCAAATGTCCCACATTTATATATCATTTCCTTCTAGTCATGCTGAGTCCAGGTCATTTCTATCCCTTTTGAACCATTACTACCACTTGCCAACCGGTTTTCTTGCTCCCAGTCTCCTCTTCATTTGTTGGTTCATCAACATTAACTGAGCTCCTCTCTGCCTGGGATTGTGTCAGGTGCTAGGAATTTATGAACAAGGACCTGCTCTCAATGAGTTGAGATGAACAGGGAAAACAGGTAACCAAGCAATCACAGTATCGTGTGGTGTGTGCCATGGCACAGATGTAACACCAGAGTATGGAAAAGGAAGGACTCGGGACAGCTCTGGAGAAGAGGTAAGGCTTGAGCTGGGTCTTACAGAATTGGTATGAATTGGCCAGGAATTTAGCCCTCTGGGGTTGCTAACTCTGTTAGATCAAAAACTTATTTTGGAAAGTTTTTTTCTCTAAATGCTTGCCATGTATCTATTTTTTTTGGTATGAGACTTTAAGGTTCTTTAAGGGCTGTTTTCACATTTCAGTCATTTTAATTCAGCATGGAATCAAATTTCAAGCTAACAAATGGCTAGATTTAGTAAGAAACAACTTCAGGTTTGTGCATGCGTGCTCATCTTCAGTCATATCTGACTCTTTGTGACCCCATGGACTGTACGCTGCCAGGCTCCTCTGTCCATGGGATTCTCCAGGCAGGAACACTGAAGTGGGTTGCCCTGCCCTCCTCCACGAGATCTTCCTGACCCGGGGTTCAAACCTGTGTCTCCTGCATTGCAGGCAGTTTCTTTACTCACTGAGTCACCTAGAAAGCCCAAATTTCAAGTATAAATTTGTTAGTCTTTCCCCCAGAGGATGAGATGGTTAGATAGTATCACTGACTTAATGGCCATGAGTTTAAGCAAACTCTGGGAGTTGGTGAAGGACAGGGAAGCCTGGTATGCTGCAGTCCATGGAGTCGCAAAGAGTTGGGCACAACTTAGTGACTGAACAACCCCTTGCCACAGTTGTATAGTCGTATCCCCAATACTATCTAGATTGTTATGATAGGATTCTGGAAATCAACAAGTCTTTGATAGATTATGATGCCGTCTTAGCCCATCCACAGACCGATAATCTGACAAACAGGTTTATTAACCCATTACAATAAGGGAGGCTATATACTAGAGGACCGGATAAAGTATAGAGTTAACACAGGATTTGAGGGAAGCGTGGAGATAAAATGTGAATGAAACAGTATTTTGACAGGCTGATAGCAAAAGAGAGCTCCCATGGCCAGTGTCAGGTTAAAGTGTTAGAGTGAGCTCAGGAGTGATGTTTCCTTGGAAACTAAAAGTTTAGATGTGGAATACTATGTTCACAACTCCTTTCCTGAAGCTTTACACCGGGGTTGTAAATAAAGTCTGCTTCTCTGTGTCAGAGTGACTTGGATGCTCAATCAATAATGGAATGTTTCATTTTTACAGATTTAATTTCAAATAGCAAAGTTTCTGCTGTTTAATAATTTTAGAGAACAAAAGCTTCCAGTGAGTAAGAAAGCAGGAGTCATGCAAAAATGGGGGTTATCTGATTCTCTACAACTGTAATGTATCATGGGGAGAGATGCTTTTGTTATTTTGCGCTGCCTTTTACTGTGTCTTGTTGGGGTCCTTTAATGGACCGGAACCTGGTGGTACGGAGTCGACGATAAGAAAGTAAAAGAAAGAGAGAGAGAGAGACAAAAAAAGACCCAGGGACCTAAGCTCGGATGGAGCAAAGGTGCTTTAATGATTTTTCTATGAGTATATATGGGCTGTGGTACAAGAAACTTCTTTTGGGAATGATAGAGATCAGAAAACCAAACATACAGCAACCATTACCAAGGGAACAAGGGGTAATGTTAGTCACAAGGTCAGGAGACAATCCATATCTCAAGAAAGGGGAACAAGACTAAGCAGTTTTGTCCTAAGAGAATGTTTACTAAAGGAGACCCAAGCCTGCCTCACACAATGACCTCAGTCCCTGGGAGCAGCGTGCTGTTGCGCTTGAAGAGGGACAAAGGACTCATGAGACAGCACGTAGGAATCCTCCCGTCAAACATTCCCTGACGGTGTCTGTTATCCTAGCCTGGGTAATGGCAAGACAGGTTTCAGATATTTTCAGTCCTACCAAATTTTGACTTTTTCAGTGCTCACATTATAATAAAGCAGGGTCTTTATTATAGACAAAAGGCAGAAAGGGGTCTGGGGAAGAGGGGCGCTCCTCTGTGAAGCCAGTGGTTGGGGGGCCCCCTTGCTCCTGGCATCAGCTGCGTACCTCTATAATAGAATGGTATGTAATCATCTTTATGAGTCTGGGCTGTGAGCATCTTGAGTGCTGGGTTTCAAAGATCCCCTTTCTCCTCCCAGTTCTGGCCCACAGTGCTGAGTGAACTCTCAGGTGAGTCATCGGGGTTGCTCACCCCTGAGTTTATACTGCTCTGCCACTCTGCCGCAGCCAAGGTGGAGGTAGCAAGCACTACCTGTCACCTGAGCAATGTGTCCCTAGAGTCCCTAGGACTGCAAAAGTGCTCTTGGCTCTCGGTGTGGTTGATTAGTGAAGAATGGCAGGGAAGCCATTTGCATATATGTAAAAATCAGCTGACTTCTACAAAGCCTTAAGTCCTGTTCTGAACTTCTTGCAGAATCTCTGGCCCCACCTTTACAAACAAGGTGTGTAAAAAACACCTTCTTTAGGTGTGGTACCAAAGTTCCCTTCAGGCACAGGCTGTTGAGTTGATGTTTTTCTGGAAGATCCTTATATATAAAAAAAATGCTAACAGGTATGCAACAGTCATGGATTCTTCAACTCACAGAGTTTAAAGGGAGCAGTCTCATATTTAAATGAACTCTTAGCTTCCTAAACTAACTTCATCGGTATGTGATCCATCCGTGCTGTCATAGGAGTAGCTAATTTGAGTCTCTTTAAAGGCTTTCAAGTGGGAGGTGGGAGGGGGGACCGGGATGGGGAATACATGTAAATCCATGGCTAATTCATTTCAATGTATGACAAAAACCACTGCAATGATGTAAAGTAATTAGCCTCCAACTAATACAAATAAATGAAAAAAAAAAATAAAGGCTTTCAAGTTAAATCACTTTCTCTTGGGTTTTCAATTGCCTGGCTCTTGACCTGGGATTCCTGTGCACACATGAAATGGGCAGCTTTTACAAGGTCTAGGCACCCAGGCCGCAGTGATTTCCTTTTTCTTTTTTATTGTGGTAAGCTGCTTTCTAAAGTAACTTCTGCTTCTGGTTGAGAACTATTTTGTTGAATCAAATATAGCAGTCCCTGCTTATTAACTGTCTGTATCCACAGTGTAATCATGATATACCAGTTGCCAAGGTAGTTTTCCACTATATAAAAATATAATAAATAATTCATAGGGAGAATCACTGACAAAATATAGCTTGTACCTTCAGTAACTTTTATCTGGGGATCTCAAGAGAGCTTTTCACAGATGGTCTGGCCTAGCATAGAAGTGCATTTTGCCAGTGTGCCTTGAATAAAAGAATGAACTTAATCTTTAGGTAATGCATAAAGCTTTTGCTCTTTATCACAGCAAATGTTAGCATTTTTTAATTTTAAGAATCAAATGATGTTAAAATGCAACAAAAACCGTGTTCCCTGCCCCCAGCCATGCTGCTGCTACCCAAAGACATCTCTTTCTAATATAACTGTTTTTTTTCTGGTATTCACTTCTATCTACGTAATACAGTTATGCCATGGAGTCTTGACTCATCAACCTTAGATCATGTTGTTTACTTTCTCTCTGGCCAGCAAGCACCTAGAACTCTCATACCCTGCCACCTCTAAGTATGAACGTAATGCAGGCTTTCTTTTTAACGTCAGTATTAAATGATTACATTAGTATGGCTGAAGCAAGCAGTGTAAGATGGTTATGGTTCTTCTACATTGTACTTTTCCTGAAGTTAAATTTTGCCTTTACTTCCTCTTTCCTGCAGGGTTGGGAGAAAGGGAAAGTCACTTGGCTTTTCAGGGTGGTGATGAGACCTGGTGCCAAATAGCTTCTTAAGCAGACTTTTAACCAATTCTCTTGTCCCCAGCCTCTGATCTCACTCCCTCTGCCCTCCAGCAGAAGTCAGGATCCTGACATGGCCCCAAATTCTCAACTTTGGCTTTTCCTATATACAGGATATGGGACTTCCCTGGTGGCTAAACAGTAAGGAATCTGTCTGCAATGTGAGAGACCTGGGTTTGATCCCTGGGTTGGGAAGATCCCCTGGAGAAGGGAACAGTTACCCACGCTAGTATTCCTGCCTGGAAAATTCCATGGACAGAGGAGCCTGGTGAGGTACAATCTATGGGGTCGCAAAGAGTCGGACACGACTGAGCA